TATTATCACGCTTGTACGAATTTCTTTGGTTTCTATAGTCATTTTAGAACTGCATTTGCATTTTGTTCACTCTCAAATTAAACTATCTACTTTAGTTTTTATTCGCATCCACAAATGTTCACATAATTGCCATACTTGACATCCGCCCTGCACATCGGGCTTTATTTGTATACCTTCCTTTATATTACTTTGCATCGCGCTAAGTGGTAAGTAATCCGCAGTCCGCCACTTACCGCACACTGCCCGTACCTCAATCTCATTGGCTGCTGGCAGCCTTGGAACCTGTCAGTGGCGGTTTATTCTATTGCTTTCCATTTGCTCTTTGTTGCTTGTTGAGAATTTTTGAAAATTTGCTCGCCCATTTTCAGATTATTTTATATGCGCACGAATAATCTTATGAGGAAAGTGTACCTGTTTTTTTATTCTATTTATTAATTTTAACCACTCTGTAGAGTTTATGCTCTTTTGCTGAAAAACCCTTCTGCCACCTCAACACCAACTAACGTACATTCACTCCCCCTACTGTGTGTGCGTCAAGCGTCTTTACAGAATACCAGTAAGGAAAAACGCAGGATTTATATTCGTGGGGTAGACATTTGACTGACTTTGATCTTACGTGGAGGTATGAAGGTTATGTCAACCCAGGTAACCCATCAAATGTCCATCCGTTTTTCAAGGAATAGACTTTGTTTGCTTCTGGCCATCTGCCTGAAAGTAATAGCCTGCCTCAACGGTATTCTGGCGCGGCCACAGCCGCTGAACCCAAGTCCCATATTCTCCCCAGAAGGATATGCCCTGCTAGATGCATCACAGGGCGCCTTGACTGGAGCGTAGCATGAAATTAAGCACATGTGTTGATTTACACAGCCCACCCCAGACTGTTAGGGCTGTGTAGCTGAACACAATTCAGCTGCTCCGCGTGTTGCGTCATCGTGCAACTCTCTGCGGTGGCGAGGGGGTGGAGTTTTCTGGGGTCGCCGACAACACTGTCTGTCCAACAGTCTGCACTGTGTAGTCGCGTATTTCGGGGTCATGCATGCGAGTTAGCCTGGGTGGCGGTGGCGGGGGAGCTGGCTGGATGGAGACACGAGGGCGTCAGCAGTGGTTGACGCCAGCAGACGCATGTTAACAGGCTGTGCAAAAACCTGTCCAAGCTGACGTTTCACCCCAACCACTTTAAAGGCACTGGGGCCTACTTATCTAAGAGCAGAGTCGGTAACGATGGCGTGATGGACCCCCAAATGGATGCCAACTCTAAAAATATAGTCTACAATTCGGTGTGACTTATTACTCACCGTTCTCATTGCGTGAACTGTTCATCCTTTCCTGACTAAATGTGACCTAACCGGCGGCGTTTTGTTCAGTGTCCGCTAATTTTTCAAAATCGGTTCTTTTTTATTTTTTACTTATTGCGTTCATCATTTGTTAGTTGACAGCGTACCAGAAGACTTTCTCTTTTCTGTGTCTTCTTGCTTTCCGTCCTGCGTGTTGTTCCACCCGTAAAACCCCTCTATCACCATTTAACGTGTGACACGGTACACAGGCTAGCTCAGGTTAGTTGGGGGTCCTACACTCTATCGTTGCCGTGTAATCTTCCAACATGATTGGTCTTGCGGAACCTGAGCAAGTCAAGCAAGAATAATAAGTTTCGTTACATTCCAACACAAGTCCTCGAAGTAATATGCTAAAACTGTTCATGGGACATCTTGATCCACGCTTTTTGAAGGAAATTTCACTATTACCTATATGTGAATTCGTTTGACAGACGCAATGTACCTCGGCAAATTTGTTGTCTTTTCTGTAATACTGACTTGGTTACCCGAAACTGCATCCTTCCCCCGAGTTTATTGCCGGTTGGACGTATTTATCCACGTCTTTCGTTCGTTGTTCCACCCGTATAGAATCGTCTAACCGACGCATATTCGTGCAACCTAGTCAGAATTTCAAAATAACGTTGCCCATCGGTTTAATAGCTTGGCGTTTCGAAAGCAGACAAGTTGCCATCGTCAGAGGTAGATTCTTTGCAGCACCTCACGGTATTTATTGGTGCTGAGCATGGGGGGCATGTTGTCATATCTTCTGCTATTCGCGGAGGATGCACTGCAGGGGAGGGGGAGGGAAGGATTTTATCTCTGTCACGCTGGTCGACGTCTTTCTCCCTCCCCTCGTCGTGTTGGAATGGCAGCGGTCACTGACCTCGTCTGCATTGGTCACATTTGTTGTGCGTGACGCGCATATCTCGTATTCGTGTTCCGTTTGCGTCTACCTGTGTACGTCCCCTCGGTGGTTGCTAAGCGATTGCTGGCGTCTCCCTTCGTATCGGGTTGGCGACCGCGTCCTCGGTTTTTTGGGTATGAACTGTGTTCACTGGCGTCCGTGTTCCTAACTTCCTGCCTTCGATTCCGTTGATCGAGGCGCACTTGTAAGGCCTGGTAAGCTGCCGGGAGAATCGCGCAGCAGTTGATAGAAGTTGGTACGGTGTGCCAGGCTTCGAGCGTGTCCCTAGCTGTCTGGTCAATACCTCGGCCTAGGATTTTGGCGTTCATCCTATCTTTCTAGAGAGTTTGTATGCCGAGTAGGGTTGACCATTTGGATAAGAAAGACGTCGTCTATGAGATTGCAGGTGGCACCTACAGGGTGGAATATTGTGCTCAAACCGAAAATCGGCCACTATGCGCCTTCACGAACTCCACGTGGCAGTAAGGAGACGAGACAACTTATCTCAAGTCGTCATGCATATGCTGGAAACCGTGCACAAAGTTGCTTGCGGTAAAACAGGAATTATCGGTCCCTGCTGCGTAAGAGGGGTCGAGAATTACTGGTGGCCACTCATTCTGATGCTTCATGCATTATTCGGGGCATCGATCTGGAGGTCGTGTGCAAAAATCTCAAGGAAAAGGGAAAAAGTTTATAGACAATCAAATGCGTGTTAGCCCACCGCATTGTGCGACTCGCAGCGCTGATAAAACAATATCGATTTACAGTGGCACGTTCAAATTTTAAATGTTTTCAATACTTGTTACAAGTCCGACGATGACCAGAGGAACCTTCATAAAAAATCACGAAATAAAGTTCGATCACTTTGCTAAATGACTCACTTCTCTAAGAATTATATTTGTTGGACTGCTAATCTTCCGGTGCATACGTATGCATTTATAAATATATAGACAGAATGGTATTACTGACAAAGACAAGGGAGACTGGAATGGCCATTTCTGGCTTATTAACCGTCGTCAGCCAGCCATACCCAAGCCCGAAGTGTGGAACACCCGAGCCTCGAACTCGCGACCTGTTGGTTTAGAAGTCCACGCCTCCACCCACCGGGCCACGAGCCCGTTGCCCTGTCGATCGGTGAGCGCCCCCTAACATTGT